CGTGTAGGTCTGGTGCATCTGTGGATCAGTGGGCATCACTGCTGAATTCGTAGGGTTTATTTCTGAGTCAGGGTGCCTATGCCAGCGTTTAGAGCCCATTTTATCCTTGGAGTAAATTTTTGTAGGCTGGAGCCCATGAAAGTTTATGGTGAAATAAAACCGTGTTCTGTCTTTAAAGGGCCTGAGTTGGTTGGGGGGTGAATAACTTTTCTCCTGCTCAAGATTCGTGAATCAATGCGCTTCTAAGGGTTTGAAAGAAAAGGTGTGTGGGGTGTGTGTGTGTGTAGAGTGTGGGTGTTTAGGTACCTCCCTGAGTATTTTAGAGATGTCTGAATTAAACACCTAATAAAGGATAGTTGCTTTCATGCAGGTTCTTCTAGTAGGCCCTGGGAGGAAGCTAAGAAGAGCTGATGCAAAGAAGGATAGAACTCTAGATAGTGTTGGAAGGTGTGAATTTGTCCAGCGTGTTGTGCCCCATTATGGACAGGAGATCTGGTCCCTTTGCCTTACATCATCCTAGTGTCTTTTGAAGATGGCTTTCTGCTTTGCTTCTCCATTTGAGGCATCCTTTCACCTGTTGTTTTATAGTGAATTTCCTGTTTAAGTGCTCTATGCTTAACTTGACCAAATGATGAGTTCTGTCTGTCTGAGCAGAAATGGGAAAAAAAAGAAAAGAAAAAAATTGTGAAATACTTTTTCATTAGGACCAACCAAATTGACACTGTATAAAGCAGGAACCTAAAAAAGCACAAGATTTTGAAAGGGATTAGTAAAATAATCCTGTTTATGTTTCTTTCTCCCTCTCCTTTTCCCTTTGCTGTAAAACATTGCCTTGATAGGAAGAATGTTTATCCTATTTTTCATCATGACCACAATACATTCTACTTTTCCCTAGAGCTTGAGCAGTTTCCCCATTCGCTATCCCAGTGTAGCAAAAACAAAAGTCTTTAAGGTGCCACAGGAGTTTACATTTTTTGTTGTAACAAATGAATTTGGCTGCTCCACTGTAATGTCTTCCTACTGTAGAGTAACTTCCCTGATCTCCAGTTATAGCTCTCTTTAAGAACCCTGAACTGAAACATTGGCTCTGTGAGAAGTTCTGTGGCTTTCTAAGCAACTGTGGCAGTTACTCCTGTTATGATTTGTGTGGAATACTCTTGTGCTTTTCCTCCATGCTGACCTCCAAAATGGAAAGAGTCATCTCAGAGCAGTGACAGCATATGATGTGTATTGTCATATGTGAAATTTTATTATTGGAGATGCTCCCACTGGTTAGGCCAATGTCAACAAACTATGATTTATTATAGTTGCTAAAGTGTTTCATTTTAGTTGACCCATAAGGTAGATCCTATCTGTTAATAGTAAAATAAATGAACAAAGTTCATTTTTTTATGGCTTCAGTCTTTTATTTTATAAAGCACAGTTCATGAGTTTGATAGGTTTATGAAATAAGTGCTCTTAAGGAGACATACAGATTTTTAAATAACTATTTAATGAAGACTGCAGAAATATATTTGTCAAAGGTTATGCTTTCATAAAATTCCCAAGTTATAGTTCCGTGTTTTTCTGTGTGATTTTCTATTTTAATACAATCTTAAGGCTAAATTCCTATGGCCTGCAAAATAGGAAGTTAGAATATCATGTTAGAGAATAGTTGGTTTTGCCTGGTGTGGTAGCATCTCAAATGACCATGACATTCTGTATTTGAGCATCTCAAAGTATTAGTTGGACCATAATGAACTTTTGACTCTGTTGCAGACTTAGTATCCAAAGTCAGTGGTTGCTCTGGAATGTTCACATACAAGTCTAAGCAAATTTCTTGCCTTATTCAGTTACAGATGCAGATGATATGGTTCATTCACTTACTCTGGAGTAGTCAGGCTGACCTCTAAAAGAGTTGACAACCTTTATTTTTAAGCTACTGGTAGCTAAACCTTTGAAATATTTTGTTGTGCAGAACCTATTTGAAGTAAGTAAGAATAGAATTTAGTTTCTCTTTATTGCCTTAACTATGATTTCATGGTGAAAGCTTCTAAATTTTTACTTCTCAAGGTATAATGTCTTACTATCAGGAATATGTGAAGGCTTGTTGCAGCTAAAGTTTAACTTAGCCTCCAACTTAACATTAAAACTACAGTCAGGAAAATACGAACAGCTGTTTGCAGACCTGTTATTTAAATGGGGCAAAAGACCACAACCTGAATGCTTTTGTGGTGCCACCCACCACAATTTTCCATCACAGGAATGTGAGCATTGTGCTTTCCAAGGAGATGTGACAGAGTTTATTGTACTCTCCCCAACTATGATTGAGTGGATTGAAAATTTAGATATTATTTAGGGGGGTTGCCCAGTCTTGTCAGCATACCCTTTGTATCTACTTGGATACATATTTTATATTATATCCTTGCTGTGTGTAACTCTGCCATAAGATAAATAATAACTGCAATCAGATGTGCTTTAGCCCTGATACTTGGGTATTGAATGTCCATACAACTTTTTTTTCGAGCCCTGTCAAACTATACCAGTTCTTAAACATGATACTTAGCAGTTCTGAGAATGTTCCAAGTCATTTCTGATAATTCTTGGATCCTTAGTTGAATGTCATTAGACTTTGACCTGCATTTAGTCTCTGGTATTGTCCCATGCTGATCTGGACCATTTTCTCCTTATTCCTTTTAGCTTTTCCATCCCATCACAGCTTAGGTCTATAAAATAGACAATAGGATACTCAATGGCATTTTTTATAGTGGGTATGTTTTCCTCCTTATCTCTAATCAGTTTTTTTAGTTAACCATACCCATGTTTCCTTAGAGCCAGTGTAGATGGTGGTTAGTGTGTTGGACTAGCATAGGCGAGACCTGGATCCAAATCTCCAGTCTGCTATGGAGGTTCACTGGGTGACTTCGAGTCAGTTGTACTCTTTTGGCCTAACTTACCTTACAGAGTTGTTGTTGAGAGGACAAAATGGAAAAGATGAAAAGTGTACAAGCTGTTTTGGATCCACATTGGAGAAAGAAACAGTATAATCTAAATAAATATTATCAATTGAGTAATGGGCACATTTTCCAGGAATGTAGAAAGGCATGTGCAGTGATTTACATATACAAAGGGGTATTAATGAAGGACAGTAATGGCATACATATTGAGATCATATCTTATTTGGAGGAAGGTGCACATGTGTTGACAGTTTTAGATGAGAGAAGTGTTGGCAGTTATAAAAGTACAGGTTTGAAACCTTTGAATTAATAATATGATTTTGGGGGCAATGTTTTTCATGACAGAGCAATTACTTTTCATCTTTTGTGAAGCAACCCAAGTCAGTGTACTGAACTTTTCAGGTGTAAAAATAGGAAACTTCAGTTATCCTTTTGATGAGTGGTACAGAAAGATAAGTCTCAATATGGGCTGGTATGGTGCTGCCTTTCATTCTTAAATTCTTTATTGGTCCTTGTGAAGAATTATGCATCTCTGTGAACAGAAAAGTGGGAATTTACCTTGGAAGTCATCATGGATTTTGCCAGTTGGTTGCAGAAGCATCATGGGCACAGCCAAACAAAAGTACTTTTAAGTCCCAGATTCAAGTATGGACTCCCATTACAATGAGTGGAACTCAAGAGTGCCTAGCTTTGCCTGTGTTGTACTCATATATAAGTGTGTGAACAAAACTGATGACTTTTTAATAGTTCTTGAAATATCTGGTTATAATAACTGTAGAAAAGGGAAATGGGCTTAACTGTAGGGTCCCTCACTTTTAAGACAGTAGCACCCTGATGCTGCTTAAAAAGTAAAGCTGTTTCTTTCCTAAATTTTAAATATGTAGTTAAAACTGGTATGTAGCATTAAGTAACTGAGTAGTGAAATACAGGCTGAGGAAAATAACTGTTGTTTTTTTTAAATCCCCAGGTGTGCCTTAACAATGGCTACGACACAATCTGTTGTCATATTTGCCCTCTGTATTTTAATGATAACAGAATTAATACTGGCTGCAGAGAATTATTATGACATCCTAGGTGTTCCCAAAAATGCATCTGACCGCCAGATCAAAAAGGCATTTCATAAACTAGCAATGAAGTATCACCCGGACAAAAATAAGAGTCCTGGAGCTGAAGCAAAGTTCCGGGAAATTGCAGAAGGTAAGTATAATTCTATTAAATTTGGTAGCATTTTGCTACTCTTTTATCATTGTCTTTTCCAAGGGTTCTCCCCCCCCCCATTCAGTGACAAGACTTAACTTCTCAAAGCACGCCAAAAACATTCAGTTATTTGTGTTGGGAGTATCTGTGTACAGGTAGCTCTCAGACCTCAAGGGATCTAGTACCTTGTGAACAGGAATTGTAGCCTTGTACCTCTAGGGAATGAACATTAACTACCCTCTTGTTAACAGCATTTGTTGAGTCATCTTTGGAAAT